GGGGCTGGGCCCCACCACTCTAAACTACATTTCTGGAATGGCCTGTTGCTGGCTGGCCTCTACCTCTAGCGGCCTGAACTCCACCTCTAATACCTCTACCTCCACCTCTAGCACCTCTACCTCAACGTCTAGCTAGTTGAGCAGGCGGTGGAACACTCGGTGCCTGAACCATGGCAAGGGAACCCTGATGCTGAGAGCTGCTCGAGGGCAAAATCTAGCAATATGCCTTGTATAGCCACAAGTGTAACAAACCCTCAGCTGCTGAGACTGCTGACCTTGACGGCCTGAATAACCACTCTAAAAACTCTGAGTGGAGGTACACTGATAGGAGCTGGCGGTGCACTGTAGGGCAACTGATCAAAATACTACATATAAGAACCACGGCCACCTGGAGCACCATGAGAAGCCTGAAGTGCTGAATGAAATGGCCTAGAAGAATGGCCCCTACCAAAAGAATCCCTGCCTCCAAATGAGGCACCACTGAACCTGCCCGAATGACGAGGCCTCTTGCCAAACCCTTGACCACCCCCCTGTGATAGAACCATCTCAACTCTCCTAGCCACATTGGCTGCATCTTGAAAAGAAATCTCGCTCCCCATATCCTTAGCCATCTGCAATCGAATAGGGATAAATGAGTCCCTCAATGAACCTCCTCTCTCTCTCTCTCTCAATGGGAAATATAAGAAGAGCATGACGGGCCAAGTCAATGAATCTGGTCTCGTACTGAGTGACAGTCATAGAACCCTACTAGAGACACTCAAACTGCCTCTGATAGTTCTTCCTCTAAGTGATAGGAAGAAACTTCTCCAAAAATAGCTGGGAGAACTGATCCCAAGTCAAAGCTGGTAACCCAGCTGGTCTAGCCAAACAATAATCTCTCCACCAAGTCTTGGCGGATCCAGACAAACGAAAAGAATCAAAGTCGACCCCATTGGTCTCTACTATCCCCATGTTCCAAAGAACCTCATGACAACTATCCAAATAATCCTCGGGATCCTCCAAAGATGTACCACCAAAAGTAGTAGTGAAGAGCTTGGTGAACCTGTCCAATCTCCACAATGCATCAGCAGACATAGTTGGCCCCTCTCCGGTCTGTGCCATAACACCAGGCTGAACTACCCCAACTGGCTGAGCTGCTGGAGTCTAAAACTAAGGATCCATCTGCTCTAGAGTGCGAGTAGTAGGAGTCCGGGCTCCTCCTCCAGCCTGAGAGACGGCTGGTGCTACAGGAAGCAAACCTACCTGAGCGACACTCTCCATAAGGCCCACTAGACGGACCAAAGCATCTTGAAGTACCAAGGTAGCAATGAACCCCTCTGGGACCTGGGCTGGTCCTGCTAAAACTGTCTAGGCTGGAACCTCATTGTCAAACTCAACCTGAGGCTCCGATGCTGGTGCTGCTGCTCGAGCTCTAGGCTAAGCCCTACCTCTACTTCGGGTTCTAGCACGGCCTCGACCTCTACCCCTCGCAGGAGCTGCTACTGGGGTCTCGAGCTATTGGTCAGCTGATGAAGCGGTACGTGTTCTCATCATATGCGAAAGAACAGAGTGGAAGTTCAATTAGCATTGAGAAATCAAGTCGCACGATAGGAAAGAATAGATGTGAATTTTTTCCTAACTTTGTAGCCTCTAGGGGATAAATACAGACGTCTCTGTACCGATCTTTCAGACTCTACTAAGCTTGTCCGTGAATTGTGAGACCTAATCAACCTAGAGCTCTGATACCAACTTGTCACGACCCAGATTTCCCACCCTCGGGAGTCGTGATGGCGCCTACTAGTGAAAGCTAGGAAAGCCAATCATTCCAAATATTTTACCTTTTCCATTTTTAATCCTTTAACAATTATGAATTAACATTATATAAACAGCCGAAATAATAAAGCGGAAGAATGAAATGTAACAACTTAATAATAATACCGATACAAATCCATAACCAAAACCTACCCAGAACTAGTGTCACAATCTCATAGACTGTTTAGGAATACTACAAATAGGGGTTCAAAATATAAATACAAAGTTATTCTTGAATTACATAAAAGAAATAGTATGGAAGGATAGAAGGAGACATCAAGGCCTGCGGACGCCTGCAGGACTACCTCGAGTCGCCTGGTGGACTGAAGGCAGCAACCTCAATATGGTCCAAAAGCTGCAGCACCGGGGTCTGCACACAGTGTAAAGTGTAGTATCAGCACAACCGACCCCATGTGCTGGTAAGTTCCTAGCCTAACCTCGGCAAAATAGTGACGAGGCTAGGACAAGACTACCAAATAAACCTGTGCAGTTAAATCATATATAGCAGAAAATAAATGCAGAAATTTACAGTTAAAGATAGGAGGGGGAAACATGTTGTGGGGAACAACAAGTAACAACAGAAACCAACAGATACATGTAAAGAACACCATAATTCAATAATCAGCAAGAATCAGAAATCAAAGACAAGTGCACGACATCACCCTTCGTGCTTTTACTCTCGTCCTCACCATATGAATCAATATAATCGGCACGACATCACCCTTCATGCTTTTACCTCACATAATCATGGCACGGAATTATCCTTCGTGCATTATTACTCATATCATGGCACAACATTGTACATCATGTGGCACGGCCTCACCCTTCGTGCTTTTACCTAACAATATTGGCACGGCATCACCCTTCGTGGATTAACACTCCCAAAATCATACACGGCATCACCCTTCGTGCTTTACACTCTTCCTCACCCAAGCAACAATCACAAAGCAATTTGAGCAAGGGAATCAATAATATCACAATAAAATCCCAGCAACGGAACAATAGCATAACAATAATATCCCAGCAAGGGAAACAATATCATGAGTAATAACATCCCGTCAAGGGAGATAATATCAAAAACAATAACATCCCGACAAGGGAGATAATATCAAAAGCAATAACATCCAGGCAAGGGAGATAATATCAAAAGTAATAACATCCCGGCAAGGGAGACAATATCATAAATCTCTCCTCTTTTTCACATTTACTTCACAACTCAATTCTCAACTTGAGCCAACGTTTTACCATGTTCAATTACCGATAAAACTTCCACAAGCCTTGTTCAACAATAGAAATTATCATATAGAGCATGAACAATACGAAAACAGAGTCATATAAATCATAGTATAAGACCCACGAGCATGCTTGACACCAATGTATAGATACTCGTCACCATGCCTATACGTCATACTCAACAACTAATACATAGCAAATAAGACACAACTCTTAATCCCTCAAGTTAAGGTTAGACCAAACACTTACCTTAATGCCACAAACACAATTCAAGCCTCAACTATCGCTTTACCTCTTGTTTCTACCACCAATTTGCTTGTATCTAGCCACAATTTACTTAACAATATCAGTAAATACTAAATGACTCAATTCTAATGCATGAAAATAGGTTTTCCAATGATTTCCCCCAAAAGTCAAAAATCGATCCCGGTCCCACATGGTCAAAACCCGAGGTTTGAACCAAAACTTGATTACCCATTCACCCATGAACTCAAATATATAATTTGTTTTGAAATCGGACCTCAAATCGAGGTCCAAATCCCCAAAAATTGAAAATCCTAAGTTCTACCCAAAACACCAAATTTCCCCTATGAAAACCCTTGATTTTGAATTTAAATCATGTGAAAAGATGTTATAGATTAAAGAAAATGAGTTAGAAACAACTTACAATTGATTTGGAGAAGAAGTATTCTTTAGAAAATCGCCCAAGAGGGCTTAGGGTTTGAGAGAGTTTGAAAAACGAAGAACAATGCGTGTCACACCTCCATTTTACCCATCCGTGGGGATATAAGGGAGTTTTTCCAATTAAAGGGATATTATTCGAAATGGAATTATTTTATTTATTTTTCAGAGTCGTCACTTGGAATAATTTATTTTTGGTGTCCTAAGTCACCGGTTTATTTTTAAATCATATATCGAGAAAATTTTTGACTTTATTTAAAAGTCTGCGAACCAAAAATTCTAGATAAGGAATTCTGTTAACCAAGGAGAAGGTATTAGGCATTCCCGGGTTCCGTAATTTTAGCACGGTCGCTTTAATCATACCTGGCTTAATTAAATTGTTTAATTACTCATTTTAGAACCTATGCACATTTTTACCTTTTACCGCTTTTAATTTGAAACGAATCACGCGTATGTGTATTCATTTCGTTTGGCGCATCAAGAATCATGTCACGCGTACGTGTCCACAAGTAATCACGCTTTATTAATGCCAAAGCTGTGCGAACACATACCTCGATTTAATTTAAAAAATCATAATTATATCACGCGAACATATACATAATCACGATGGTTTGATTAATTAGGAGCGTGCTTAAAGCATTTTCTACGAACATTCATCAATTGTTCTCCTAAGCTAATTTTTGGGATTATCGTAGAGCAAGAGTTTATGAATATTAATCGTGAAAAGTGGGTTAGCTTTTGCAATTAAAGAAGAAGCGGGCCAGCATCATATTATCGTAAAAATGGGCTTGTCTGATGATTTATTTTAGCCCCAAATCTTTAAGGTCCGAATTTCTTTTGTTTCTACCCACCGGACACCTAGTCACAGCCCAAATTATTTTATTTCGCTCATTTCTGACTTAAAAAGTATTCTGGGGCCTTGTGTTACTATGTTGGAATTAAATAAAGCCTTCAAATTTATTCTAGTGGCCCAACAATAAATCCGAAATTCATTCTTAAATTACTAATGCAATAACCCAATTGTAAAAATTCAGTTAAGTTCTCAATCCTTACTTTTCTTTATTTCCTAGTTTACTCTATTAATATAACTGATCACTTCACAATATACAATAAAAATGACACACTAAATTATTTAGCAGACTAGTTATAATAAAAACAAAAAGAAATAAAACCATGAGAGGCGGCTATAGGAGATTGAGCAAAGAAGCAAATAAGACTCTTAAGCAAGAGAAAGCAATTAAAACAAGTTCAATTTAACTCAGTAGGTAAAAATGAAGAATAGCAAAACATCATGCAGAAAACTTACATCACCGGTTAAAACAAACAGAGCCGTCATCCCAGGCCACGAACGGAGCATCGCGAACTCGCCGCGACCTCGACTGAAAGCTTTACTATTTCAATCGGTTTTTGATGGTGGTTGGGCGCTGAAATTTCAGGTGTTTGGCTGATTGTTTGGAGCTGATTTTCAGCTGGTTTGTGGCTGATTATCGCTGGAAAAACTAGATGTTTTTGAGCTCGTTTTTGAACTATTTCTGGAGGAGATTTCGAGTTGGAGTTTGCAGGTTCTAGATTTGATTTTGCTGGTGCAAAACAGGGGCTGTTCGGGTAGGGTTTTGGAGTCAATTTTAAGCTAGAATCGGGGGTTTTTGGGGCTGTTTAGGGAAGTGTTTGCGGCTAGTTTCTGGCGACGTAACAGCAGCGAAAGAAAGGAGGAAGAGAGGTGAAGAGGGATGGCTCTAGAGTGGAAGGGTTCGAGGGTGGTGAAGAGCTGAGTTTCTTTTGGGATTTACATAGTGAAGTTATGAAGAAAAATGGCGTTTTAATGGTGTATGGCTACTGTGATTTTGCTTGAAGAAGAAGACGTTCTCTTTTTTGTTTCTCTGATCTCTCTTTTTCTATTTTCCCCCAGGTTCTTCGTTCCCCAGATCCCCCTGTTCCTTTCATTTTTATCTATCTTTTTATTAGCTTTTGGCATCTACATATATAGTGTGTTTGTGCTTGGGGATCAAAAAAAGGAGATAGCAAGAATATAATTTTTGTCTCCAGGTGTATAGTGTGGTCCACTAAAATTAGAGAAAGTTCCCAGCAATTCTGTTATGGGAAAGATTCTCCCAATTGAAAGGGGGCACGAGGATAGAGGGAACAAAATGTTTATTTGATTAAAATATTTTTTTTAAATAAGGATGAGTATGGACTACGTGAGGGATGAGCTGGAGAATTAAGGGGAAGAAATCTTGGGTAGAAGACAAAATGTCACCATTTGATGAGTTCATGTCCTTTTCTTTTTGATTTTCTATATTTGTTTTAGAAAAACAATAAATATAAAAACACTACATTTATTAAATTAAATAGCAAGGTAAAAATTACTACATACTCGGTATTTATTTGTTGAAAAAATCTCTAACTTAAAAATTGCACTAAACTATATAAAATTATATCCTTTTTTGGAAACTTTTCTTTCTCTGTAAAATAAAGATAAAACTTACACTAAAATGTGACTCTTTTTCGTAATTTTTAATTTATCTAAAATAAACTAAAATATTAAAATTAAACTTGAAATCTATTTAAATATTAAAAAGTGAGTGGAAAATCAAATATGGTTAAAAATTAGGTGCTCACAGCTGCCCCTCTTTGCTTGGAAATATGAAGAGTTTTTAGGCAAAAATAAAGTGAGCCGTGTGACTAATTTTTGACCAAATCGTTATTCAAAAGAGGAAGAAAATAAAAGAAAAAGGCGCAATCGAGTCCTGATTTTGGACAACCTACATATCCCGGGTTATAAGGGAATCAGGTCGCTGTTGATACCCAATTTTTCCTCAAACTATTTTTTTAAAATTTGCATATATTCCTTCAAAATCACTTTTTATAATAATTTGTATTTTTCACAATTTTTCATATTATTATCAATTTATTTTCTAATTTATTCAGTATTTTATATCCAATAATTATTCATAAATTACATTACAAGTAATTTCAAAGTATTTCTTAGCTCAAATATATCTTTTTAATCCCTATTAGGATTTAATTATTCCACAAATTAGCCAACTTGGCATTATTTGACTATAATTACAATAATTTTGCAATTATAGTCTAATTGTACACTTCATGCTATTTTAATTCAAAATCGGTCATTTTATATTTTAAATGTTAGTTAATTACCTTAATTTCACCTATTTAGCTTTAATTTTATTTTATCTAATGTTGATGGGTATTTAACAATTAGCCACTCCCTATTTAAATTCTAGCCTAAATCCAATCGGACACCCAACCCAATTTAATAACCCACAGACCCAGGTCCAAGTCCTAATACTACCCGACCCAACACCCTGACAAATCCTGGTCGTTGATCATTGTGATCAACGGTCCATATTCTCCCTTTCCTTAATTAACCTAAACTACCCCCTTTCCAAACCCCTCATTTCTCTCTTGACCCCGCCGACACTCATCTCCCTCCTCTCTCGAATTCTCTAGAGCTCTCTCAGACCCAAACCCTAAATTTCACTTCACCATCACTCTCCACCATCAACCATGGTTGTTCTTCACCACCCTCAGGCCTCTCATGGCTCTCTCACGCCGGGATTTATGTTGTCTCTAATGCCCTCAAGGGACAAGGGTGAGTCCACTCATACCTTGCCATGTTCTTGCCTGTTTCAGGCTGCCATGGATCGATTTTGAGTAAGATCTTGCTATTTTTGCTAAAACCTATGGGTTTCTAAGCCGATCTTCACCTCTGCGTTATTTTTTACAAAAAAAACTACTTTCATCTCTTAAACTTCTCAGATCAGTACAGATCTGAGATAAATTGAACTATATTTGCTTACTTTTATGAAAAACCTTCTGATTTCCAAGTGTCTTCATTTCTTCTTAGCTAGGATTTCCTGAAAATCTTTGCTTCAAGACATTTTCCGATTTTAAGTGCTTATTCTCTAATTCTTAGGTGATTTAATCAATTATGTTGAGTTTTTCTTCAACCCTAACTAGTCTGTGTTAAGACCCCTAATTTTTGACAATATGTTAGGATTCTGAGTCGATCCATGTTATTTGATACATAGCTCTGTTCTGTACTTGGATTCATATGATTTCTCCTTCATTTAATTTGAACGTCGTATGATTTTTTACCCTAGTGTGCTTTTATTAGGGTTTCATATTCAAATCTGGATTGATTTTTATGTGTTTATGCTTATCCTATCTGTTATTCATGGAAAACCTATATCATTTTCCCTAAATTAGTATTATTTTAAATCTTTATTCACTGATTAGCTACGGTAATACCTATATACTGATTTCTGATTATTTTTCCTATTTCTAAAACATTTGATTCTTTCTTGCCTTATTTATGATTAATTGTGATACTTGATGATTCTTATTGGTTGTTCCCTTAATTGAACTTTTATTCATTTACCCATAGTTACCCACCCCGTACTTAAGTAGTTAATTTTCTTTCCTTAATTATATGCACTGCTCTTTATCGTTAACTGGTTACCCCTTTATTAGAGGAAACTTTGCTGATTTTATGCATGATTGATTATGTAATTTTTCCTAATTACTGAATAATTGATTCCTTACCTTATTCTACCTAGCTATCGACTAATATATAGACTCTCGTTTATTCTCACTTCAAGGGGACGAACACATTGTCCTAAACCCTCTCTCTCTCATACGCACACATATTCTCTCTTGCTCTTCTTTTTGATTATTTGCCATTCTCAGTCGGCTGCAAGCCAAGACTGAGTATTATACACTCTGTGTTTACTCTCTTTTAACTGGTATGTCCTCAGTCTAGTTTAAAGCTTGAAAAACAATATGTTTCTTTGGTATTTCAGTTCTTCCTATTTCTATACTATGCTTCTACTTATTGTTTTCTACCCTGCAACTATCGTGTCTACTTATTGTTCTACTAGTATGATTATGGTATCTCTCCCCCTTAAACTCAACATGTTACCCCTTAATAGCCTTCAACGTGATTCTGTTTCACTGGTGTTGCTTTAATTCCTAGCATAAACCTCTTTGTGGTAAGATTGTTTCTGTGACTAATAAGTTCTATAATACATCTTCACCCCCCCCCCCCCCCCCCCAGGACTTCTCTAATCCTAACGTATATGCAAAGCTACCTATTGTATGTTTACTCTTATGTGTTTTCTAATTATCTCCAACCCCTTACATCCCTGCTTGTGAATGTTGAAATGATACTACACTTTGAACTTGCTGTGTGTGTGCTGGCTTGTTCCAAGTTGTTGTTGCTCCTATTTCCTTCCAATTTCAAAACTATTTTTTCACTAAGCCACTCTTCTGTTGTTTTGCAAACTTATTTCAAACATGTTGTTTCAAAACTATTTTCCAATTCAACCTTTTCAAAACTATGTCAAGCACTCTCACTCTACTCTTAGACCACTAAGTCTTGCCCCTTTTGTGTGAGCCTTGCCTTGGACCCTTAAGCTCCCTCTAAACTTGGACACATGAAAGTTGGTCTTTCCACACTGCACTTACTCTGTCTTGGCTATGAAATTTGGGTGTGAGCACTTCTCGGGATCCCTTGAGGTACTTAGGGAACTCTGACACACCCAGATATGAGGAAAAGCTATGAAAGAATCTTGATACTTGAGGTGATTTATTATATAACTCAGAGAGGAAGTCCTAATCAGGTGTTGAAACTCTGGGCCTGTTTTCAGGATCCCTATAGTGTCACTTTTATTTTTCTTATGTAATTCATTTCAGTATTGGTCTGTAATAATCTATTTTAAACAAGTATTGGGGCTGGCTAGTGAAAAGGGAGAGTAGTTATATATGCTATCAACATCAATGGGTAGAAACCATGTCTTAGGTTTACATTTCCTATATGTGCATTAGAATCGATGTGTAAGACCAATATATTCAAAGCATGTCATGCATTAGATACCATATTCTTAGTTTTACTGTTTCAACATCTCATTTGACATCACTTTACCACTTAGAAATTCTGCTTTAGGCTAAGTAACAGCATTAACATAAAATGTTGCTTCTGCACATCTTGAAATCATACTGTAACTCTTTGGGCATTTAGAAACCATGCTTCAGGAATTCTGCATATCCTGAAATCAGCCTGCATTTTCATATGTGCATGTTAGATACCCTGTTTAGGATCTTGTTCACACTCACTCAGTCACACTTAGTTAAACTACTGATGCACGAAAAAGGACATAAAACAGTCTCATGTTTGATTATCCTATTTAAGTGAAACTGGTCACAATCCATGCATGTCTTTGCAACATTTAGAACAACATGCTTTAGGTAAAATAACTTCCAAACTGTTTCAATAATTCTGGTGACTGCTGCATATTATTTTATGTCTAGGCAAGCCTTAGGTAATAAACTTAAATAAAACCAGAATCGTTTTTGTTTAACTGTCAGCATGTTAAAATCAGTATGCAAGCCTGATAGGACTTCCTATTTGAGTAATGTTATAAATATGACTCTGTTGTTATCACTTAGATACCATGCTTAGGATCTAAATTTAGACCTTAATTATGTATGAGTCATGTTGTTTATGTGTACTGTGTGTGGAGGTATATTTGAGCCTTTCATTTGTCTTCCATGCTCCCCCTTAATTGAAGTCCTACTTGTTTATTATATGTCACTTTAGTATTTTACCTTTAAACTTGAGGGTCTACCTAGAACCCCCTTTTTATAGGATAGGAGTCCTAAATTCCTCCAGGTCTTATAGGAATGGATGGGTAACAGCATGCAATAGGGGTCGAAACCAACCCTCATTTTAATTACCTTCACAGGGCCGGAAGGGTAGATATGGATGTGATGACTTGTGCGCTAATACCACGTGTAGCCCCTATTTAAGGAGTGTCATACCGGGTATTGCATTGATGTAATCCATATTACAAACAAACCTAGGTCACCCCCTTTCACATTCCCGAATATTCTTAGATTATAATTCTTTTCAAAATCTTGCTTTTCATTAACTGCTTTCCAAACATCTATGTAC